CTTACCCGAGAAAAACTTTGGCTCATCAAAGTTTTTCTCGGGTAAGTCGCTTACTCGAGAAGCTGAAAAGCTAGAAGGCTGTAGTTTTAAGAGGATGTCCCCGTCCGCTTAAGTCAACGAGCTCAAACTCAGACATCGGGTATGCCTGGTACCCACGTACGGGCCCGTGAAATTTTTTTCCAGTAAGTTGCTACTCAGGAGCTAGCAAAGCTAGAAAGCTGAAATTTCAAGGTGGTTTTTCCTGACAGTTCTGGTGTCTAGTCTTAATTTGTTTGGCTAGAAGCATTTGACAAAAAAACTGGCACCGGTAATGACAGAAACTGCAGGGAACTATGCAAAAAACGCAACTTCGCAAGGGCAGCCCGTGCGTTGGCCAATTATTTTTAGCTTTTATCGAGTTTTTCACACTCAGCTTGCTTTTCATGTATCCCCTTCTGAATAATTCTGTCGGCAAGTCGAGGAGTCAGTGGATAGGGATTTGTTCATTGCTTTTTTCTGATTTATTTCCTTTATTTTCTCTATTCCCACAGAATTCCGATCTAGACATCTCATTGTGGTGTGTTGTTGAGAAAGGATGAGCATTTCCGAGGCATAACTGGATACAAACCGTGGCAACTTCAAGCATATCACTCTGCCATGTTTTGTCCAACTAAACTTAAATGATACGAACCACTGTCTGCCTGAATATCGGTTGATAATGATCGGTTAGCTCTACACACGATACGCAATATATGCGCTATACAACGCATCATGGGAAATAACATGAATAAATCGAAACAAAAATGACTCCCGATGACCTATGCGCCCTTCGGCTTGATCTGCTGAGGCGGAACGGCAACGGAAGGGCCGAGGGGCTGCTAAGAGTTTCAGGTGTTGGATGATTGTCATAAAGAGCGGCTTGGGCTTTCTCGGTATGCTTGTGGTAGACTGCGGATAGACGGTGTTGACTGGGAAAAAAGCTACGTCTGTCTTGCGTGAAAAGTAAATGTCCGCCACAATCTCCAGCCGAAGACTGCGCATAGAGGAGCTACCGGATAGCGCAAATTTCACAGCATCATCCATATCCTCAAAGTGTCAAACTGGAAGAGCCACGTCCAACTCTT